GGCCCGGTGGGTTCATTTCTCCTTATTTTTCTATTGCAATTTTTAACAGATTGAAAATCCAGATTTTTTAAGCCCCCCCTGCAAAAAAAAAAAAAGCCCCATCGTGGCAACAACCAAACCACCTGATTTATTCCCCCCCAATACATGATTCTCCTTCTGCCCTTTCCAGCCCCAACCCTGAGCAGGCCCTAATTTTCCCCCTTTTTTTCTAAGAAAACCCCCAAAACCTTTTCTAAGTTTGGTGCTTTTTGGACAAAAAGTGGGATTTTTTATATCACTGTTTGTGGGGCTTGAGGTTTTTTTTTTTTAACTGGTGCTACTGGGCCAGCCAGGGCCAGGGGGTGTTGAGGTGGTGTGGCCCCCACCCAACTGGTAAATGTGACTAAACCCAAACTGGTACCAATCAGGGTTGGTGGGGGAGTTAAAATTTTGGGGCTGCTCCAAGTGGGGTGCAGGATTGATCCCTAAATGCTGATAAATAATAACAATTAATAATACATGATAATCAAGAATAATGAAGAAGAATGAAACCAAATAATTAATCCTTTTACTAATATATTATTGTTATTTCTTGCCACCCCCAGTTGGGAGGAGGGGGTGTCCTTCACCATCATTTTGGGGTGCTGCTGATCCCCCTTTTTTCCTTGTTTTAAGCCTTTTTTTTGGGCTTTGAACCCCAAGGGCTGGATGAACCTCTCCTGTTCCCAAGGCCCTGAGCACAGGGATGGGATGGTTGGGATGGGATGATGGAAACATCTCAACACTTGAACACCCCAGGACTCTTTTCTAAGAGATCCAGACACTCCCCAAGTGTGAAACTCCAAAGGATGGGAGAAAAAAATCCCTCCCCACAATGAGGCACCAGGGGTTTTATTCATGGGAAGCCTGGAAAACTGGACACTGGGCTAGAGAATAAAGTGTTGGAGAATAAAATGCTAGATAGTCATGGATTCATGGAATGGGTTGGGTTGGAAGGGACCTGGCAGATCATCTAGATCCAACCCCTGCATGGGCAGGGACACCTCCCACCAGCCCAGGCTGCTCCAAGCCCCATCCAACCTGCCCTTCAACACTGCCAGGGATGGGGCAGCCACAGCTTCCCTGGGCAACCTGGGCCAGGCTCTCACCTCCCTCACAGGGAAGATGAAGTGGGAAACCACCCCCAAAAATGAGACACTTTCCCCTTCAAATAAATGAGACTGGAGCCACAGCCACCCTTACACTTTATCTTTTGGATACTCTACGTAGAAAATGGGGTGTGGGAGGGGGGGGAAAGGGTCTGGTGCTGCCCCCCCCCCTTCCCCTCCCCTTTATAATATAATAAAGTAATAAAAATAATAACCCCCCCTTTTTAATTATGTGCATTTAAAAAAAAATTGACCTTTTTTTATGGATCAGGCTCTTTCATGCACAGTTTCTTTAGCACCACGGTGAGGATCCGGAGCGGGCCGGATACTGGGAAGGGGTTTTGGGATGCTGGGATGAAGGTGGTGAAGGTGGTGGTGGTGGGGGTGTCCTGTGTCTCCCCCTGCCCCCTCCCCCCCCAGCTCAGCACCCGGTGTGGGTCATGGAAGGCAACGTAGAGGAAGAAAGGCCTAGGGATGGGAAGGGGGGGGGGGGGGGGGGTGAAGCAAAGAAACCAACCCCCCCTCCAAGGGGTGACCCCGAATAAACAAGATCCCGCTTTGCTGGTTGTGGAGCAACTTTGTTTGGGGCCTGGGTTTTTTTTTCCCACCCACCCTGGAAAAAAAGGGAGGGTGACCTGGATGGGGGCAAGTCCGATGTGGGGTGCACCCCCCCGGAACCCCATCCCAGGCCCCCCTTACCTCTCAGCAGCTCTTCATGGGCACAGACAGTGCGGACACAGATCTCCTTGTTGATCACGTAAACCCGGCGCAGGCTGGGGAGGCAACATAAGAGGGGGTTTAGCCCAAAAGCAAGGGAGGGGCTCCCCCCAAAAAAGGGAGGGGTTAGAGAAGCTCCTGTCCCCCCTCGCCCCACCTCCTCACCTATAAAAGCAGATCTCGTTCAGGCACTGCTTGCAGGGCTTGTGGACAGAGTAGAGCCTGGTGCAGGGGTACTGCTCCTCCCGGCAGTCTGCGGGGGGAAAGGGCAGCTGGGTTTTTGGGGGGCTTGAAAAATTCCAGGGTGGGGGGAGGCCTGACACCCTGGGGATGGGTTAGCAGGCACCCCATGCCTTCCCCCCCTCCTGGAATTTTCACCCCAGCTGGGCTAGAAGGAAGGATGAAGCACAAAGATGGGGAGAGAAAGACTCACCGAGGGGCCCTGGCTCCGTGGGCTCCGTCTCTGGGGCAGCAGCTGCAGAGAGAAAGTTTAGGGGGTGCAAATGTGTGTGTGTGTGGGGGGAGGGTGTTCAAAATGAGGGTGGGTGCACATTTGGGGGGGGTGCACATTTAGGGGTGGAGGTGCACATTTGGGAGGGAGGGAGGGGGGTGTGCACATTTAAGGATGAAATCCCAGTTTTCCTTCCCTGGGTTTTAGGGCTGGAACATCTTTTAGATGCACCCGCTGAGGCTGCTCCAGGAGGGAGGGGAGACACGATGGGGTGAGGGTGTAGGGACCCCCCCCCGGACACTGGGGTGGGAAATGGGGGACACACACACCCCCCTAGTGGCTGCCACCCACCTGGGGTCGGGGCTGGCACAACTTCCTGCTGGGATTGCTGCTGGGATTGGTACCCGAACTGCTCCTCGGTGGGACGGGGGGGGACCACT